AGTGGAAGCCCAAAATCTCTGTAAATGTTTATGAAAATTAATAAAATATAATTATAGAAAAAAAAATAATAATAATGTTACTCATAGTCTTGATATTCGGGGGGGGGAGAGACTTTACAAAATGTTTAAAGAGAAAAATGGGCAGAGATTATTATTTTTCCAGAATCATTTACCTAAGAATCTCCCACTAAATCTTTAATTCAAGAAGCAATTTCATTCAAATATTTAAATCCTCAGCCAGACCTAGAAAAAGTTACTAATCAGATACAATATGGCAATCATTTGATTTGAGCATCTATTATGTGCAGGGGACAAAAAGGAAAGACCTGAAATTCTGGTAGTAGACTGGTTTTAGAATTCATTAGGCACAAAATGAAACACTTTGCTGATGTTTTCATTTAAGCCACATAATTACCCTTCAAAAGCTTTTGTTAATTATTCCCACTTTAGGAATTAAGGGAAATTACTTGCTCAAGATCACAAAGATGATACATAGAGAGGCAGGATAGGACTCATCCTGATTCTTAAAACCTTTTTTCACTCTACATCACTATATATCAACTACACGTTTCAACTTGAAGAAAACTTGCCTATTCTGACCAAGCAGAGTGGATAAAAGTTCTTGGTGTTTATTGTCCCCATGACCTATGACAAAGTGCCTTTGCATTTAAATTTTCAATTGTAATCAGTATTGTCAGAAGCAAATACAAAAGCATTATTTTTCCTTCTAATAGGGGGAACAGACACTGAAATTCAAGATATCTGGTACACCTTATCACTTATACACTGATAAATGCATTGACTGTTGTATATTTGCTTCCTAATGTAACACCAAGTTTTACACTACAACCTTAATAGATGTTAGCTTAAAGTATCACCTTTCCATTTAGACTCAACCTCACTGGTGAGATTAGATCTTCTTGGTTTTCACTCTCGTTGCTGCAATAGCAGTGTATTGTTCAGAAAGGACAAGGCTTTCTTAGATGAAGGACTGTCCTTAGTTCCTGAGGCACGACTTCAATCGTTCACCAAATGTTTGTTACAGACTGCCTGTTTCAGGTCAAGAACTAGGTTAGGCATTGTTTGAAAATACAGGTTCTAACTTGAGAGAATGATTCGTGATGCCTTGTGATTAAAATGCCTAAAAGCCAAGGAGGACTGCCTTTAATATGATTTTAAATCTCATTTCTAAGAAGAACAATTGAAGAGTTTGGTTTTTCCCAGATTTCAGAAGGTAATCTGACTACAATTAGAAACTAGGGAATCTTGCCTCAAGGAGTTCAAGAAAACTTGTTTTTAAATGCTCCAAACTCATTACTAGAGATACACTCTTCTCATTGCTGTCTCACCACTGGTTTTCCAAGGCAATAAATTGCATCAGGGGAGACTTCCCATCTTTCTCCCATGGAACCACTGGTGGATTCAAACCATGAGAGGTGCAGCCTTTGGATTAGCAGCACAACTCCTTGCAGGCTATGCCACTGATGCTCCCTATTAGAATACGCACATACACATCAATGCTGTGGTTCGTGCACCAATCACCCTGTGAAAGGAAGCGTGGTAAGTCTCCTCCTGTAAACATTTACAGCTTCCAAAACCCAATGAGGATTTCCATGAGTAGACATCGACTCCACAGCAAGGGAGCTAACCAAAAGGTCAGTGATTTTAACCCACCACTCATTTCACTTCAGGTCAAATTTAAACTCTTACCATACTTATTTGGAAGCAGGAGTGGCATCCACTTCCTAAATAACATGCCTCCAGAAACTCTCTGAACTTTGATAAATGTTAATAGTTGTGGAAAGGCTTCAGGCCTTTTGTTCATAGGGTCACTATGAGTTGTGTTTGACCCAAAGGCAATCAACAACAACGACCATACTTAGAGTGCTGTGTAGGCAAATCACTTTTCTAGTTCATTAGCTTTGATTTCCACCACATGGCTAAGCAGGAACATGCAAAGCAGATGGGTAAACTACTTACGATGGGATTGTTAGTTTCGCCATCCACCAGATTTAAATTGAGCAAGTTTAGGACCAGAAGATGAGAATCTCATTCATTAACAAGGAAAAACAAACAGAAACTGCAGCATGCGTGCTCAGGGGGCAGAGATTCCAGAACCAGTCAGATTGGGGCCTGCATGAAAGCAGAAGCAACCTCAGCAGAAAAACAGACTGATATGAGACAGAGCTGATTTGGGTCTGCTGCTCTCTGGAGCCAGAGTCAGGGGCCTTCACGCAAGCTTCCTGGAGGATTACGGGGGAGATGCCATAATTGAAAGGACTGAGAGAGTTTTGTAACACTGACCTATGCCTTGAGCTTGTATGTCAAAGGTCCTGAGAACACTCTTGAGGAACTGTCCTGACTGAGGAATTCATCTTCCTGCTAACCTGAACTCCAACCTGTTAACTTCCCCAATAAACCTCTTAAGCTTGGGTATGGCTCTATGATTTCTGACACAGTAGCAGAGCACTAGGAAGCTCTGGTGGCCTCGCTGGTAAGGAGTTGCACTGCCAACACAACCATGAAGTTTGAATCTGACAACTACTACATGAGAGAAAGATGGGC